ACATCCAGTGAAAGGACCTTTGAAGCTAAGATCACATCCAGTGAAAGGACCTTTGAAGCTAAGATCACATCCAGTGAAAGGACCTTTGAAGCTAAGATCGCATCCAGYGAAAGGACCTTTCAAGCTAAGATCACATCCAGTGAAAGGACCTTTGGAAGCTTAGATCACATCCAGTGAAAGGACCTTTGAAGCTAAGATAAGATCACATCCAGTGAAAGGACCTTTCAAGCTAAGATACCAGGGTCGTGACGAGGAATGTTTTTTTTTGATTATTCCCAAATTCGTACACAAAATGTCGATCCATGATCCTCAAAACTCACGTATTTGGATCCCTAATCCCATGAATAATCCCTTGATCCCTGAATTTATATAAAAGGATACCAATTCCCAGCCCCAACCCTCTTCTGTGATCCCTGATTCGCTGATGTGATTCCTGATTCCACTTCGCTCGTCACGACCCTGAAGACCTGTATTTCGCATTTTTAACGAAGACACCTCCTTTTTATCCAATCGATTTAAAAAAATCTAGAGTGAGTGAGAACGAGCCAGTTATCTTATAAAAAGTATCGAAGAAAATCTTTTTAAACGGTAAGCCGTCGTTTTCGGAGAGAAACGTGTGAAACTATACGTACTTGGCACATTTCCAAACTTTTGGTGTCATTAATGAGGCTTTGAAATACGACGAAAGACACGTGTTTAAATATCAAATCCACAATACTGTCTAAAAGGCTATAGAAATACTGTGAAACTAACAATCTCTTTGAATGACACCTTGTGATAGACGTCTATGAATAGATTATAGTATTGAATTGACTTTCTTTTTTTTCCCAGGCTAACAAGGGTTATTATTTAACCACATGTCATGTTGTTACAAATTCTCAAAATCCTTCAAGCAAGGGCGCTAGGATTCTTTAGTTCAGTTAAGAGACTACAGATTATCCTTCATCAGTTGAATATGTGTGCGGTTATAAACGAAATCGTTTAAAACCCTGTACGCTACGAATTGTCAAATTGTACTTTCCGTATCATTGAATTTCGTCGTCGCTCCGTTATTTGAAGTAACTTCTTCCCTACTCGTCATTCCAGGGTTCATAAGTTGCTCACGGCTACGCCTCGAGTTTGTATATCGTATACAACACGGTCACCCATGCTGTACATATTACTTAGAGAACTGAGCAAGTGTTTTTAGGACTAAAAAACGTGTTTTATATTTATTCAATAGAAAAAGTAAAAAAAAAGTTAAGATCGATATTACAAACGTTAATTAATTAAGTGTGCAGTAAGTGGTTTAAGTAGTTTAAACTTTAATTTTTGGGTCRATATCAGTGTGATGTTAATCACCAACTGAAACACGAGAGCAAGACAATAAAAGTAAAATTACAAAAAAAGTAAAATTATTTTGTAGTCATGTCATCCTAATGATCGTATATTCTTTCTTGGGAAATCTACAGTTGACTTGAGGGTTTAATTTTGTTCATTCTGGCTTCAGTTTCATAAAATTTTATCTTTGTATGAAAGAGAATTGTTTTTTGAAAAAATTTCGTTGAGGATACTTGTCAGACTTTGATTTTCGTTCATGAGTATACACTAGTCAATATTGAAACCCTCTCTCCGAACTCCGAGACTGTGCTGGGACTTAAGATTCACATAGTAATCAATTTAGCACTTTCCCCCTCCGGTCTCCGGAGAAAAATTTGCTGTTAAAATTGTTAAAATGCTAACGTTGAAAAATTATAATTCTGCCTGGCTTGATAAATGTAAAGCGTCTTTGATTATATCCGTATAGAAAGGACGCTATATAACCATAAATCATTATAAATCATCGTTATTTATATACGACCCGAACAGCGTCTAAACATCTGGGTTTTAATTTTCCTCATAGTGTCATTTTGCAGGCGGGCATTAACGGCTATGAAAATAGATATTTAATCACCTTGGTAACCAGAAAAGAAAAAAGCAACAAGCGAACAAAGTAACGTTTATTAGTAGACGGCTAAAGTTCTTCAAATCTATAAAGATCTATATAAATTGATACAACTTTGCCAAGTGGCTGTTGAATATATACCTAGCGGTGTAGGGGAGAAGTCGCGATAATAGAGTTTTAGATTTACGTTCACGGCAAACGTGAAACGTCAGTTGACCATTTAAAAATTATTTTAAATAGCTTAAAAAGAATCGCAAAAAAGTCCAAGTAGTAGAAAAACAAAAGAATATTTGTCTTTGGTGAGAAGGTTTGTAAAAGGTAAAGTAAAATACAGGAAAACTATCAAAACATGGTCACGTTTGCCGTTTGCGGGGAGAAAAAAAGTCAATCTAAAACTCTCTAATGTGGACCTTCGAAACTAAAGTACTAAAACTTTAATAGGAAAGCTGTTAAAAAAACTGTTAGTCATTAACTTTTTTACTAATAATACCTTATTATTTACTAATAATACCTTATTAGTCTTTATGCGTTGGCAACGCCGCTAGTATAAAGCAGCCGCGTCGTTACAGCAGATTGATCACTTGAATTTCTCGCCTGGTTGATCGAAGTTTTGGCTGAACTGAGCAAGCAAGACGAAGTTCAAGATGCAGTTCAAGGGAAGTGTAATTTTGCTTTTTCTCTTTGGCTGTTTTACTGTTGTCCATTCAAGTAAGTTTTAAGTGATTATTGATAAATTTGATCGTACGATTTTCTTATCTTAAATGACCGTATCAAATCCCTGTACTAGTCTTTTTTAAATAAAATATAGAAAATGCCAGTTTAGTTTTAAGATTGTGAATCGTGTAATTACGTCTTAAAACTGTATCCTGGTGTTTACTTAATTAAAACTAAGGTCAGGTCAGGGTAATGAACCGTAGTATCAACTCAGTTTACTCAACCCATTTGGTGTAGAAATATTTGACCATTTAAAAAAACACCAATTGTAAAGGTATACTTTATATGAAAGCTGAACGAAAGTCGAATCTTAAAAGTTGGCTTGCAAGACTCTTGCCCTTTAACAGAAAATTTTAAAGCGAGTTATTTACTAGGTATAGTTTCTGGAAGATCATGTTCGGCGTCAGGCGTTACCATTCTTCAGATTCTTAACAATAGGACGTTTGCATCAGCGTTATTTGACTTCCATTAGCATGAGATGCTTCGCAAATTTACTTTCTTATTAAAATTGGTATTTTCTCATGATAATAGCAAAACAGTTGGTGCTCTGAACAAAAAAAAAAGTGTGCAATGGATTTTTTGTAGTGGGAATCAAATGACGCCGTCATGCACAAGTCCGCTTCCTTTTCTCTCAACTGACAACAAACAAACTGAAACTACTCACTATTGTTCGTTGCTTTGGCAACTCGATCTTGTTTACTTTCAATCTGAAAAGAATGGCATCATAATCAAACTTTATTTTAATTTGAAGCATGTAAAAACTCGAAACCATCACTGCTATATTTCTCATTTTGATGCAGGATCTTATACGGTGTTGATTATTACTGGTTCGTCCGATACCAGCTCACGCGTGGAGATAAAATTCGTTGGTGACATTGGAACTTCCTCTGCACACATTCTTACCCCACGAGGAGGAACCTTTAAACGACTTAGGTACGAATTCTATCTGCTTGAATTTGTTCTGGCAGTGTTCTGGCAATACTTAATTAACGGTCATTCCACTCACACTCGTCGTACATGAGCTCATGGCCAGCGAAGCCACAAGCAGCCCAATCTCTTGTTCTGTTGTAGTATTTGAATATTAACGGTAATATTTCATAGCGTTTAAAGTTAAACTTTTAAGAATAAAAACGACTTTCCTTGAAAGCTTGTTGTATCTTCTGATGTCTCTCAAAATCAGCAAAACATACAAGCTATCAAGGAAAGCCTTTTTTTCCTTAAACGTACTAACTTTACACGAATACTACAACACAACAGAACAAGAGATTGGGTTGCCTGTGGCGAGGACTCTTCAGGCTTATTGCTTATGGTGAATATTTACCGATAATGAATTGTTAAATAAATCCACTCTTCTAGAATGATAACCCACATGTATAAGCCCCAACGATTATAAGCGATTACATTTTTACTATGTTTTTACGTTTCACTTGTTCAAAGTAAATCATTTTTCTTCGTTTCAGTAAATACGCGTTTCGCGGACTGAACGATCGCGATGTTGGCGAATTGAATGGCGTGGAAATCTACCTTCATTCTGGATCGTCATCCTCATGGCCTATTAAAAAGGTACTTTACACTTAGTTTAATAAAGTTGAAAAGCTACAAAGCTGAGACCGAAAAGGATTATGGGTAGACAGGGTAAATTTTACGAGTTTCAACCGCTTGATAACTGTTGATGGACTTGCACATCTTAACAGTTACAGTCTCGCCTCTTGTGAACATCCTCAAGCTGCAATTCGTATCAAAACACGTTTTTACTTGTTTTAGATATGAAAAGTGTCCCATAATCGTCAGTGATCTCAGCTGCGTAGCGGCGCTTTTGGGACTTCTCTTCCCTCCTTCCCAGTCCCTCTCCCCAAAGCGCCACTACGCAGGCTATCTATAGGCTAATAATTTTATTTTCTGTAACAGGTACTAGTCGTTTCCAATGGTCGTCGTTATGTGTTTGTGAACTATCAAGGAGACATCTATCCAGGCAAATGGACCTACATTAGAGGCAAGTGCACTAAAAATAATGCCAACACGATGTCATTAGCCATTCCAAGGTTGAGGGGAAAACTGTGTCGAGTTGCAATAAGCCTGAAGCTTGATGACGTTTTAATCCCGACTCTATACCATAATAGTTTTTAAAATTCTTTCATATTAAAATTTTTGATTCTTTAGAGAATAAAGGAACAAAAGTCATAATTAAAGAACAAAAGCAGTGTGAAAAGGATTATGGTCTAGAGACGAGGATAAAACGTCATCTCGCTTCAGGCTTATTGAAGTGCATCGTGTGGCTGTTTTAGGGGAGGAAATAGACGCCATCTTGAAAATATGTTGTTGGATTTAGTCGGCGCTTTTGATTTATCAACGGCCGCTGCGTTTTGTCGTTTTTTTTCTTTTTTCTTTTTCTCTTTAGAATGATTTACAGTGGAACTACTATAACTGGGGCCACATAGACAGCGAGAACCAAATAAATTGTAGAATAAAAACAATACATTCCAACTTTGGGTAGTGGAGCCAATCAAAAACAAGCAGAAAACAATTATTCGAGTACCCCAAGTTGGAATGTATTGTTTTCATTCTACATTTTAATTGGCTCGCTGTCTAAGTTTTATCTATGTTATATTTGTTTATGGTTTTAGCCAATTGTCCTTTTGGATTCAAGAAAGCTTCAGATGGAAGTTGCGTAGGTAAGATAATGCATGGTGAAATCAATTACTCTATCTGGTATATATTACAGTGGATCTAGGGATGGCGTTTGGCTGAGATGGAGCTTCATATTGAAATAAAAAAAATTGCATGGAAAATACGAAAATACAATTAATTAAATCGTTGAGTCGAAAAAAGATTGAAATTTTAGAATATTTTCGTAGGAACAGCTTTTTCAATATTCTTATTGAATATCTTACAGATAACAACGAGTGCCTTCTGGCAAACGGTGGCTGTGAAACATTCTGCCATAACAACGTTGGCAGCTACACATGCAGTTGTCGCAGTGGCTTTGAGTTGTACAACAAGCTGAGATGTCGAGGTAGGAAAAGTTATTCAAATGGATGATATTTTCTGTGAACTGCGTGCTGATCCATAGATATATAAGCTCTTTATGGCTCCGACGAAAATTATCGTAGTACAACTGACGACGGCAGGAAATGAAAGTAATTTACACTAGTGGGATAATTATTTAGTATATTATAAAATTATGAATAATTAATGAGAAAAACACAACAGAATTCGAATCAGTTACTCTTTATCAGTTACTTATTATATCTGAGATACAGAATCGTCGTCATTTAAATTCAACTTTAACCAAAATGCATTTCTCGGTCACAAAAAAAATAGGAGAACTCGAAATCATATTCCTAGACAATTGACATGCAATATATAATCTTCGCGTCTCATCTGTTTTGGCTTCACAACGGCTCGCCCCTGTAAATGCTCATACAAATCGGCCGCTCGTATTCACTTCAAGGATGAATATCGTACTGACGTATCTCGGGAAGGCGCGGCGATATAACTGACTTTGATCTGATGTATTTTTAGATATTGATGAGTGCGCACGTAAAACAGACGACTGTGATGATCAATCTACAACCTGCTATAACTATAAGGGAATCTATGAATGTCGTTGCAAGAAAGGATTCAAATACATACCCAATAACAAAAGACGGTGTGAACGTAAGTGGACTCGTTACTCAATGGATAAAGCCACCTTTAGAGCTTATATCATATATTTAGTCTCTCCATTTCTAATGTTCAGTGTGTCGGTATCTTTCGAAAACAAAGTGTACTAGTTGGCGCGATCGCGGCGCAAGTCAGCGGTTGATAAGAAAATAAAGAGGGCAACCATGAAAGAACATTTTTTTTCAAATGTAGATTTTGAGTTTATGATATCAAAGTATTTATCGCCTCGAGATGGTAAATCGGTTCAGTTAAAGTGATATTAATGAATACGAAGAGCAAACGAGTGAGATGTGAGACGTTCATAAAGTGTGAACAGTGCGAGCTCTTTTAACAAGTTAACTGTCCATCGATACTATGCCGTAAAATAACTTTTTAAAATGTATTGTAGTTATTACATGCCACCCAGTAGTCGAGGCGCAAGGTACCTCGGTAAGTCCCAGTGAATGCTTGGTAAAAAATGGACGAAAAGTTGGAGACCAATGTACATTTAGCTGTAAAGCAGGTTACTTCCTGCCAGATCCAAGCAAGAATACCATGACGTGTTTGGATACTTCCGGCTGGGATATGGCCCTAATTTACTGTAGACGTGAGTACCTTTGGTATTGTTTCATTCATTTTTTGATATCGTCAAATAGTCACTGCATGACTCAGTTGAAAATGTGAATCCCGAGGGAATGTGAATCTTTGCATCGTAAAACCAAATACTTATTAACATCTTTGAACGTAAAGTCTTTGGTCTTATCTTTCTTATATCGGTATAAGAGGGGTTAAGAAATCGATTACGGTTGATATACCTTGTGCGCAATGATAGCATCTTTGACCTGGCCATGCCACTAACCAAGCCTTTTCTTTATTTAATTATTTAATTGGAAAAAGCGAGATTAATAAATCCTTATCTAGTAACGTATTCAGAAGAGTGAAGGTAGCGCATCTTTGGTCCAAGGCAAGCCATTGAACAAGGTTGTCATAAGGACCACCCGTATCCGTAGCGTATGGCCATCCGGTACAACAATCTGGCCTTTGCCTGAAAGCTTGCACTATAGGCACGTTTTTCCAGATACTCTTCAGATATGGCTGAAGAGGTCAAAGAAAGAAATATCAATACCTTTTGTGTTTTGTTGTATGTTTTCAGCAAAAAGATGTCCAAGTCTTACCCCACCAGCCAATGGATACGTCTATCCACCATTCTGTAGCACTACTGGCAACACCTTTAAGCAATCTTGCTATTATCAGTGCAACAAAGGCTATACCCTGAAAAATGATCAGAATCCTGAAATAGTTTGTACAAAAAGTGGTGCTTGGAGTAACAGCACTCCAGCGACTTGTGTCAAAGGTTAGAAAAGTAATGATGCATTCTTCAATCACTTTTCCTGGCTTGTCGTGATCAAGATCACGAAAAGTAGCTTTGTTAAACGAAAACATTTTGGCGATCTAGAGGTCTATTTACCCGGACGAGAAGGGATGCTGGAACTGGAAAAAGAGGTTGTAAAAAGAAAATAATCGAGTCTTTCATTGCGTTTCTTTCAGTATTTGTTAAACCTTGGATCAACTGTCCAACATCAGTCATGGTTACATTAGCCCCGAACGCTTCTCATGCTGACGTCACAGCCTTGCTTTCAAAGCCAAGGAGCAATGTTGATGACGTTAAAATGTTTCCAGAAAAATATCGAACGAGTCTTGTGTTCCCAGCTGGTACAACTAAGCTGACCTACAAAGCTACCAACAAAAATGGTGACTTTGCACAGTGCACTACAAATATCATCATTGAAGGTATAAACTCCCCTAGAGTCAACTCCCCATAAAGCACGCTACGCCACCCGTGCTTCCCCCTTTAGGGAAGCACGGGTGGCTTAGCGGTAAGAGCGCTTGCCTCTCACCAATGCGACCCGGGCTCGAGTCCTGCCGGGCTCCATGTCGTATGTGAGTAGACTTGCCTGATGGTTTTCTCCCTGTGCTTCGAGGGTTTTCTGGGTTTTCCGGTTTTTCCTTCCTCCGTAAAAATCAAGTTCTAAATTCCAATTGGAATCTAGTGGAAGAAGAGCCACTCAGTGGAATCCACTGTTAATCCCATTATCATCATCATCATCATCATCATCATCATCATCATCATTATTATATGTATTTTAAATAAAGCTAAACATCATCGCAAAACGTTTCTGAGGGGGAGAAACAAACGCTAAAGATAAAAGCTATCTACTTGATCATGAGTCTCCTAAATTAAGATTCGGACCCACGAATCTAGCACGACTTCTTGAGGGCAAAAAGAAGGTTTTCAAGAAACATTATCACTGAGTCAGTGATCTCACATTTCCTGATACATGCTGAAAGGGACGGGGGCAAACTACCATAGATGCATGCCACTTTCTTTGTCAATGTCTGTGACYGTTTGAAAAAATTGAAAACTGGCAGTGAGTACTGAAGAGAGTTTGAGCGGTCCTACTACATTCGTTTTTAAACGATGCTTGATACATTGATTAAAGCCATGATTATTCATACTATATCATTTCAGATAAAGAACCTCCAAAGGTTGTCTACTGTCCACCAAATATTTACAAAGTTGTTAATGGACAAAGTACACAGGTGTCATGGACTCTTCCCAAGTTCTCTGATAACGTCGGAGTAACTAAAGTAACTTCAACTCACAATCCGGGCGACACTTTCAAGGTTGGTCCATTGCCTGTGTATTACACCGCAAGTGATGCTGCTGGTAAYACGATTAGTACTTGTAGCTTTGATGTCAACGTCAAAAGTAAGTGGTTTTAGCGTAGTTTGTACATGCTTAGCCAAAGAAACAATGTTTGTAATTCCGGAAGATGACATTCGATAGATATTACGCTAGATGATGCCATTCCTAAACAGGACTAATACGAATATTAATGCCTCTTTTTTTTCAACCTTAACGGGAGAAAAACTTTCATCTTAAAGCTTCACAACCTTAAAAAAAGTTATTGAACAAGTTATTTAATTCCATTTGCAGAGGCCGAATGTCCAAAACCTCCAGCACCAGATGGTGGTACGATAAGCGTTCATGATTTCAACGGCTATAAATATGCCACTATCAAGTGTAACCCAGGCAAACAAGTGTTCATTGGAATGCCGACAATCAATTGTCACAAAGACACTCTCAAATGGGATCCAGTACCTGATTGTGTTGGTATGACCTTACGATGAATTTAGAAAATGAGCCTTGGTTTATGGGTTAAACTGTTGTAAATTAATTAGAGGCAAAATGAAGCAAAACTGACTGTTTCTTTTCCACCAATATTGTTTTGTTGGGATAGATTCTGTACCAATGCCTTCCTCTGGTATCTGTGATCAAGGCTATGTCAAAAAAGGAGGAATACATAGTCAAAATATCTGTGGTAAGTTTTATTAAGTCTTAACTAATTTGTTACCCAAGAGACACAAGACATATCTTATTCTATAAACCTCTTTCAAATCAGCCGACCAATCAAAAGAACCTGTTGAACTTAAACAAATTGCAAGAGCGCGAACTTTGTTCGAATTCCAAACCCTGAATGTCACTTCTCGAATGGAAGACCAAGGCCTGATCGATTTTGATGCGTCGATTGTTTACTAATAAAACTTCATTTATTTATTTTTTGATGAATTTCAGTAAAGTGTCCTCGTGGCTACGCATATGATACTGTCACGAAAAACTGCACCAAGTGTCCCAAAGGACAGTACAGTGATAGAGAAAGCAGCTTATCATGTACTCCATGTCCACTTAACCAAGGAACATTGACAGACGGTGCTAAGGCGTGTTTGCGTAAGTATCAGCCAAAAATGAAAGGGTGATACTATCTGTCCATCTGTATCCAGTCAAGACTTAGTAGTTTTAAAGTAATAAAAAAACACCCATTTAAGTACTCAGCTCGCTGAGCTTGATGACTCAGTCTCTTTAAAGCCGTTTTTCCCCACACACTGTGCCATGGTTTTAGAAATAAAAACACAATGGTCGCGAAAAAAATGTACCAGATAGACTAGTATATTTTAACCTTAAAAGCAATGAGCGATGCACAAAGTGCTGTAGATACGGTCTGTAAAAGGCTGCCTAGTCTCTGCCATGATGCCTTTGGACTGTTTAATAAGTACAGGTTACGGGCGTTTAGTTTCCGCCTTAATTACCATGATGTCCGAAGACCTTACGACGTCTCAGTTTGTTTGGATGTCTTGGGTCATAGCAAAGTTCATGTATTTTGGAATTAATTAGCTATTTTGCTTAGTAGACATGATTTCGATCCTATGGATTCATATCTGTCAAAGGAAAATTTTCCTTTCCCAAATTGTTGTAGAAATGGAAGTCTTCTTTGGAACTTCAATAAAGATCCGTGCAAACGAGGAAAAAGCTTTACGAACAAACATAGGTGAAAAGCTTATAAACTTTCTTAATTTTACAGATAAATGTTCTCCAGGTCAAGCATCAGCAAATGGATTTGAAAATTTTCAATGCCAATTTTGCAGACAAGGATTTTACGAGGATCGTTATGGATCTACTGCATGCAAAGCCTGTCCGAGTGGACTCTCGACTCTTTCGATTGGAGCAAGTCATCTGAACGACTGCGGAGGTTAATTAAGTTCTGTTCACATTGTACATATCATAATATAATGTTTACTACAACCAACACTGTCAGTAATGAAGCCTTGAAAACTTCGCAGATCTGATAACAAGACTTGGTGTTTTGCTCTCTATAATGAAAATTGGGAATGAGGAAAACGGAATGAAAAAGTGTTGAAAGTGTACGATAGAGGTATCTGGTTGAAGATGTGATAGGGATAAGGAATAAGAAGGGGGAAAAGGAAATAAAGAAGGAATGAAAGGAGCTAAGAGAGAGAGAAAAGACAAGACAAAGGTTAAGGAGGTAATCAAGAGAATTAGAGGAGGTACTAAAGTGGTAGTCGTTTGATCAAGAGAAAGTGATGGTTATAAACATGAATACAGATATTCCTTCTCTTAAATCATTTTCTCTTCAGTGCTCTACTTGCACTAGAATGGAGGGAAAGTAGTACAGATAAGGTGTATTGATAATATCAATTGTATCCTACAGTACGACCAAGTTTCACTGAGTTTGTAGTTCAACCCAATAATGTGACTGAGGGAAACCAAGTCGACATCATCTGCAAAGGAACTGGTGTACTTGCACCGTCGTTTAGCATCAAGAAGGTTGTGCCTACACTAGGTCAGTATAGACGTTTGTGATACCAGTTGACAAGAAAACCTAAAGATGATAAAGCAATAATTCTTCTCCACTATTAAAAACATTGTTAGAATTGACAAGTGGCGATTAAAACTTTAAGGATGGCTCTTGCCGGCTTTGTCTTGTTTTTAATTTTCATATAGTAAAAAAAGTTACATAAAAATTATTTTAGAAATTTAAGTTAAGTTGTCGCTGGTGCCCTCAATTGTAATATAAGATACTCTTAGTCCAACTACAGCGGCAACAAAAGCAGCAGAAGCTGGTATCAACAACGAAAAACGAGGTCAAAGACTACGGAACAACGACTGAGCAGCAATGATCTCCATTAAAGAGTAACAGATATTATAGTCAGTACACTCTATTGCCTTAACACAGTTGCTGCATTTGGGTCAGTTTCTATACACATTGTACATGTGCTGAAATAAATGAAACGACTTGAAACAACTGTTTGAAGGCGCAATATAGCGCAACTCTAATATCTGCTATTACAAGGAAAAAATCTAAGATCTATTTATTTATCAAGCTATTTTAATATAAAATATTTTCCAGGTTACGTTTAATCGATGAAGTTAAAAGCACTGATAATGTTTACAAAAGTGTTTTGAAATTTCGAGGCATGGAAGGATCCAGAAAGTTTTGAGAGGTGTTCCAAACGTATACCGATCAAATCTTTTCATCCTTCACTCCCCGCGCCCCTCCCCTGGAGGTATTAGACTAGCTACTAATCCTCGCTCGATCAAATTGACCACAGGCCACTGCTCGCAGTCTAAACTTGTACTTTTGCTTTTAACCAGACGGATTTGGTGGACCAGTGATGAAGTCGATGATCCTTGACGATTCTCGTAAAGTCCTTGGTTTACGCTACACAATCACTGAAACAACCGTACATGATGCTGGCTCCTATGAGTGTGAGATACAAAACAAGTTTGGCAAAAGTGAGAGCTCCGTCACTCTTCGTGTGAAGCTTAATACATCCTAGGATCGAGTATGATCGAGTTCAGGACTTTTCTATAAATGATATATCCCAGTATATATTTATAGTAGCCGTGATCTGGACGAAATGTTTCTCAGTGAACTTAAACATAATAAACAATCTGGACTATATCAGGAKTGTGTTGTCATTATATCATTTTCCATGACTGCAAATTCTTGCATTGTGCATTTTATCAAACCACAATTAATAGTTCATAACACAACATGACAGAAGTAACAAAAATTATAGTACTTCATGTTTACATGTTTCCAAAATTAGAAAGCCTTCTTCGTCGTAGAGTTGGAAAGCCTTTACAAAGAATCCTCATATTCATTACTAATTTATGAGCAAACCAGCCAATAAATGGGCTATTTTTGGGTCGCATGATGTTACTTGAAACCTGGTAAATTCCTATGAAAGGACTGAATTAATTTTGTTCAAATCCTTGGACAGGATCAAAATTAGTTCAGTTCAGGGACATATTTGTCCCTTAAGTCTTTCAATCCTAAACAAATAACCTCCCGAAACATTAATGAGTATGAAAATTCATTTCAAATCGGACTGGACGGGATTTCAAGTCCTTGCAATTAGTTCCAGTCCTCCGCTGTGCCTGGGACTGCAACTAATTACGGGGACTTGAAATCCCGTCCAGTCTTCATTGTCGGTTTTGAAATATTACTTGAAGATTTGCCGATGAGCACTTCCAATAACTAAATACACCCCCCCTCCTAACAAATCTCAAATACACCCCCCAAACACACCGGCACAAGTTCATGTTTAAGTTCCACGTCAACTTTGATATTGAAAACAAACCATAGCAGTAATTTAATAATATTTTGAAATTACAGCTGTTCCTGGCTGTTGTTTTTATAATTTTCTCTTTTGTGCTAATTTAAGAAAAACATTTCAATATTCCGAATAAACATTTCAATAATAGCAAAGATTCTAATATATTCTTTGGGATGGAACAGTAAACGTGGGTAAAGTAAACAGAATATGGAATATTCCTTTTTTTTATTTAAACGACTATTTTTTTTCAAATTTCTATAGAACCTTTTTCGTTTTATCGCCATTTAAATCGAGAACTAGGTTACAACATGACTGTTGAGGCACTAAAAGTACAATAACGCTGACTGCTTTATGGTTTCCAAACTGTCCCCAGTTGTTCAAACATGAGGGTTTTTGAGTGTTTTATTGTCCTTGTCGAGAGCTACTATTTGTTGCTAAGGTTACAACGTGACTGTTGAACCACTGAAAAGTACAAACGCGACTAATATACGGCTTCCAAACTGTCTCCAGGTGTTCAAACATGGTTGCTTGACAAATAATGACTTGCAGATTGTTTTCAAAACTTAAAAACTATTATGATGTAAAAATTAAACAAAGCTGAAGTTTGTGATGGTTTTGAAATTAATTTCTGGTCTTCTACAACCCAGTTTTCTTTTATTCAGGGAGCGTACCACTTTCAAGCAGTCCCGATTTTATAAAAAGGAAAAAAAAAATGTAAACTTAATCTGTAAACGAATGAAAGAGAAATTTTATTTTTTGAGTTTTTAATTATTATTATTATTATTATTTTTAACTAGACCTCGCCTGCAATATAGTACAAGTAGGCTGGCACCCAAAACAGCATGGCCGATTGCAATGGACCCAAGAGAAGAAAAGAAAAATTCGAAAAAGAAATATTAGAAAAGGAAAAAAAACTACAGTATTAATAAACCAAGTCATTATCTAAAAGTTTAGTTTTCCTAAGCTGTGTAATTTTTAGTGCAAATATTTTGAACCAATTTACATAAAGTAAGGGGAAGGGGAGAGCAAACATGACCTCCTAAAGTTGATGTTTCTGCTTCATTGATAATTCATTAATTTATATGATTTATTTATTACTTTGTCATGAAAAGTTTAAGCTGGAAAGGGGTCGTAATCGTGATTTTTTTCCTTGTTGGATAACATAAAAACCTCGATGCCACTACACATTACGTTCTAAAATAGTCTAGTTCTAAAATAGTTCTAACCAAAAAAGCCTATGTGTAAAGTTAGCTGACGAACCCTCATATTTTGACTATACCCTGAAACAGCCCCTTGGCCGATCTAAATCAGGGCCACGACTGCACTGATTAAACCCTGAAGCAACATCTTGGCTGATCCATTTCAGGATACGACTAACTTGCAGAATTTATGTTTTGTTGAGGGAGGAAAACCGGAGAACACGGAGAAAATTCTTGAATCAAACGAAAGAACTAACAATTTCTACCTAATTACATGTGATGCGGAGTCCTGGAAACGAATCCGAGACCCATAGTGAGACCCATAGTGAGAGGCGACCATACTTGCGCTATGCCACCCGGAATTTCGCTGCTTTTCTTTTGAAAAAGCCAAGATACCCCCCACCCCCCTCTCCATAACACCAGCTCTTGTACTATTTGTCCTATTACAAGCACTGCTATCCTTTATTTTTATTGTTCAAACTTGTGTACAAACTGAACAAATACAATTTCAACAAATGACTGAGTTTACCTTTTTTCTTATTTAAAGTTCTAAGATAAACAAAATTAGTCCTCTAGTCCTGCTGTTTACACATAAGCAGGAGTTCTTTTGTAACACAAGAATATTTAATATAACCTAAGCTGCTACGTGTTCACTTGAAATAAGAGGATATAAGAACAGCAGTTGGCAGCATTTCTACACAAGCCTCAAGCATCAGGTTTAGAGAAACTAAAGAAGATAGAAAGCTGAAGACATCATGAAGTTCTTGTTGGTGGCTGTTCTGGTGCTGGCCTCTGTGGCTCACCTTAAGGCAGAAAAAGAAGATGAGAAATTACTGGCATTGATGGAAATGGACGAAGATGCTGCTCTTGATATGGTATGTCGAAAGTTGTAGAAATTAATTCACCTACAATATACTTATCAGAGTTGTAATTCTTTAAAACACTATCTTTTCTCTGTAATCACCTCACTCTCCGAGAGGTTTTCTCTCTTTTTTCCCTTCTCTTTCCTTTCCTTTTTTAATTATCCTTTTTTACTTTATTTTAATGGCTATTATTGTATTAAAGATGTTGTAGTGAATTGAGTTTATAAGTTGTAGATATTGTCAAAAATGTAACGCATAAAATTTGATTCTCAAGATCTTGTCAGACAATGAAGAAGATGCATTAAGACCAACATGGCGACCATTTCCATCAATGCGACCATTTCCATCATGGCGACCATTTCCATCAATGAGACCATTTCCATCATGGCGACCATTTCCATCAATGCGACCATTTCCATCAATGCGACCATTTCCATCATGGCGACCATTTCCATCAATGCGACCATTTCCTTCATGGCGACCATTTCCATCAATGCGACCATTTCCAACATGGCGACATTTTCCATCGCGTAGACCACGCCCATCGCGAAGACCACGCCCAACACCTCCAKCCTTTGTGGTAAATATTCTTTCTAATTTCTGCGAGGTTGATCGTAACACTTTTCTTAGACCTGTTCTTTTTTGTCTGTGAACAGGTCGAGTGTTTAAGAGAATTTAAGAAGTGCATGAACGAATCTGGAAACGATCTCAGGAAAAAGTTCAAGTGTGGCCTAAACTTGGGAAAATGTATTAGAGACAACAGGCCTACCAGACCCCCATCAGATGAAAGTGATGCCAGGAGACCACGTCCATCTGGTAGACCACGCCCATCGCGAAGACCACGCCCAACACCTCCATCCTTTGTGGTAAATATTCTTTTCTAATTTCTGCGAGGTTGATCGTATCACTTTTTTTAGACCTGTTCTTTTTTGTCTGTGAACAGGTCGAGTGTTTAAGAGAATTTAAGAAGTGCATTAGCGAATCTGGAGACGATCTTGGCAAAAAATTCAAGTGTGGCCTAAACTTGGGAAAATGCATTAGAGACAACAGGCCTACCAGACCCCGTCCATCTGGCAGACCCCGTCCTTCTCGAAGGCCCCGTCCATCTGGCAGACCCCACCCTTCTCGAAGGCCCCGTCCATCTNCCTTCTCGAAGGCCCCGTCCATCTGGCAGACCCCACCCTTCTCGAAGGCCCCGTCCATCTAGAAGACCACGCCCAACCTTCTGAATAAATTAAAGCTTAAAGAAGAAATTGATTTAATCAAATACGATTGTAGTATTGTACTACTGAACACATGTAATAGAACTGAAATAAAATGAAGAGCATTGAATCAGCTTCAGAGTGGTATTTCCTTAAAACAACAGGCTTACCCGGTACAAACGAAAGAATGAATGTTGGCAGAGTAGTGTGAATCCAGAACGCCTTAGGTTATGAGGGGTTGGGGTGGATATTAAATTGTTTTGAAATTCAATGGCGTTATAACTTGCTCCTGCTTTATTATTGACGTTATAACCGGCAGTAAATTAACCAGAACTAATTAATTGCTTAAAGATAAAGGGAAGGGGGAGGAAGAAAAAACTAACTTACTTTAAGACCCATTGCCACTTACCGTGATGCACCGCGGTCACAGATGAATTTCGTGGTCCATGAAATTCAAAGATTCATATATTGAATAATAACGTCATATTAAATCCTTTTTCGAAATAGCACTAAGGCACAATAATTATCCTATTACATTATTTTACGGCTTTAGGGACTATTTAAGAGTTAATTCAAAAGGTTAGAATTGTTTTTTCAGTGGTGACACGATTCAAAATGTAAACAAATTGTGATGCATCACGGTAAGTGGCAATGGGTCTTTAACTATAAAATGCTATATATTTAGTGATAAACCAGTTTCGCATTCGATGCATACCGCTGTTTTTGAAGACTACAGATTTATATAAACAGGCTTAGCCTCGTTTATAAGCCAGCTATTCACAGATAGCAATAAAAGTCCGTGGGATTTAAAAAAATGATATTGTTCAAATTCCACATTCTTTACATTACATTTGACTTTTGCAAGTGATGGCTAACCCTGTACAAATGAGCCTAGTCATAAAACACAGCGTATTTACCGAATGACTAGAAAAGGGACTAGTAGAAATATAAGTTCTTTTAATAAATGAGTCTTTATTCAAAAAGGATTTGATAATTTACAATAAACACATAATCTGCAAAGACTAATCAAGGCAGGTTATTGTGATTTCATTTGTTTGAATTTCTTTTTTGAAACAAAGTTTTGACGAATTTCTTAAATTTTCTGGAATTTTATTCCACAAGTTAAAGCATACACGTGAGAAGAACGATTTTCAGTGTTTTTCAAGTCTTGAAAATTTGCAATACAATTTTTTAGATGTACGGGATCTTTTATTATACGAGTTAATTTAATCTAGATATCAACGTCAAACATTAGATGTAAATTACGCATAAATGATTGTCGTACGTACCAGTTTTAAAAATTACAACTTGTTGAGAATGACGTGGATTCATCTTTTGTTAAATGGTACCAAAATGGCCGCGATGACATAACGTGCAAACGAAGAATTCTTTTCCTGCCGTCGGACGCGTCTCAGAAAGTAAAAACGGGTTGGGAATGTTGCATTGTGTGCCTGTGCCAGTTTTTGTATCCGTGCGATAACTTCCACAACGCTGGGGGCGACACATCTAAAAGAATGCAATGCATTTCAGGCCTGGACGATTGTCTCAAGTTGTTCAAGAAGTCCATTTGATTTCATATTCAGTGTTATACACTCAATTGAAGTTGTCGGGTTCAGAAACATAGAACATAAAAGCAGAGACCGAAATGGCACATGGGAAATGACATAATTATATTATAATTTATTCATTTGCGCCATACATGCAGTCGGTTTAGAATGCCAAAAGCATATTCACCATTTCCCATACATCGGTTCACTGGTCAAACACAAAGCATTCAGTCGAGGTTGCAAGGTTCAAATTTGAATAATCCTTTGAAAGTACCTTGGCGCCTCGCTTGAGCGCTTTGTGTTTGACCAGTGAACCGATGTACGGAAAATGGTGAATTAAAAACAGTGGATGATGCCACGGGTCGCCGGTCACAGCGTGCATCTAATTAACGTACTTCCCATTTGCCATTTCGGTCTCAGCTTCTATGTTCTATGTTTCTGAACCCGATATCGATTTTTCAATTGAGTGTAAACTGGGCAATGTTGTAATGACAAAATGAAATAAAATAAACGCATCAGTTTTTCTCAAAAGAGCAAGAAAGAATCCGAGAAATCATTCTTAAACGTTTGCTTCCTATAAATATATATTCTTGTGTTTCACTGTATTTTAGTGTTAAGTTTTGGTAGCATCGTAGTGTCCGTTTCCGAACACACAAGTGGGAAATTTTTCGAGGATTTTGGTTCTCCTCACTTAGAAAAAACTCAGCCACAAAGTGAATTCTCTTGGATGTTTTCCAATTTTTTTCGTATTTAAAACGATGCTTCATTACAGTATGCACAGAAATATCATTATAGTATTATATATGCTATCGTAGGATACGACTACTAGCCTAATGAATTTGCATATGGAAATTGGAATTTGAATAGATTCCCCATGATAATTCCCGTACACCACGATAATACAGAATTTTTCTATGATCTGGACTGCTTGTTAACATTTTCGCATGCTTTAAAAGTGTGACGCATCTTAATGGACGTACCCTCTTGGGTTTTAATCCTGGATTGCACGTTACATCATCGTATAAATGTTGGTGGTAGTGATCAATGAAAATCCTCATTAGCTACTGTTGTTAGTACCACCTAGTGCCCCCTCCAAAGGCGTCTTTTAACTCTCTTGGGAATGCTTGCAGCCCTTGCAAAATCATGCATTTTTTAAGTGCACGTGCCGGTGAGATGGTTACATCACCACTTTGTGGGAATCAAAAGAAATGAAGTCATTCATGTTTGAAAATCAACACCAAAAAAGTACATAAAGGACTGCATGCAGTACAAGACTTAAAAGAGAAGCTAGGAGTGGCACAATTGAGGAGCAGATTCAGAGAAACTATATTGCCATGAAGTACTTCTTGGGTTTGTTGATGTTGCTTGCTCTTATAGCAGAACTAAAAGCACGGGAGCAATTGGACGAAGAAATGACAGAACTGAGATGTTTGAAGAACAAAACAGTGATCTCCGGTCTTATTTGGTAAATATGAAAGACCTTTTAAATTCTGGTTTTACTAAAATATAGCGTACTCGAGATGATGGTTATACAAAGCCCATCCAGCAGATAACCTTTATCAATAGATTTGGAAGCACGAAGCTCGACTGGAAGTTATCCATTGGATGAAGTTATGGATAACTATTTGCTAGATAGCGCTTTTATCTGCGATATAGTGCTTATCCGGTGGATAACTTAATATTCGGGCTTCGTACAACCGGCTAAAGTAGGACATTATTTGATTATCGACCGAACGACAACTTAATTTTTACGTTCTTCAGAAAGATCAAGTTTGAAACGTAACTAATTCAGTCTTGCTATAAGTAACAGATGAAAAATCAAATGAGCAATACACATCTTAGCCAATTTACCGCAATGATTAAGGCCATTTCGTAAATTTTACTGCTGTATTTTAAAATTGTATTTTTGTTTTCTACAGAAATGTGCTCAGGGCGATTGCAACGAAGACTTAAATGATGAAGGATTGAGTCCCTACAGCGATCTCTTTGACGCCGTAAGTACAATATATCTCATAGGCTTCATGATGTTATGTTCCATATCAAACCACGTGTTACACTCTTGTATTTATTTATTTATTCATGTATTTTTCTACAGAAATGTGCTGAAGGCGATTGCAATGAAGACTTAAGTGAAAGATTGAGTGATGAATCTTTACCTACGGAACTCTTGGGCGCCGTAAGTATACAATTTAGATCTTTAGCGTAGTGTTTTCCCATTTCAGATCACGTGTCTATTCTTGGGAATAAAATTCTTTGAGTTGCCTCCATATTCATGTGTCATCTCATGCACAACCATCTGTTAAACAACGTCCAAAGTAAAGAGGTTTATATTCATATTGCCCCGCACCAAACCCAACGTCTCGATCAAATCTCTATTCCTGGGGGGATGTCCTGTCTAACTGGCAATCGGCTCCTTTGATACACTTGTTTAGGGCATGTCTCTTACTTTTACTCGAATGTYTTTTAGAATTATGTCATTAAAATAGGGGGAACCAACATAGCGCTAGATAGGAAGAAAGAAAGGTATGACAAGTGCCATATTAACAAGAAGGTATCAAAATTTCTTTCAGCGTCCCTCGGTCAGACCATCCAAGAGGCCATTTTCACGTCCTTCGGGCAGGCCATTTTCACGTCCTTCGGGCAGGCCATTTTCACGTCCTTCGGGCAGGCCATTTTCACGTCCTTCGGGCAGGCCATCGAACAGGCGACGTCCATCGGGCAGGCCATCGAACAGGCGACGTCCATCGGGCAGGCCATCGAACAGGCGACGTCCATCGGGCAGACCATTCAAAATGTTATAACGCATTTTGAGGTCAGGTTGAACCATATAGATATACTCTTTAAAAATACATGATATAAGATGTGGAAGAAAATTCTACTGGCCATGAAATTCGATTAACTTGGAAAAATTTCGAAAAGAAGATAAATAAAAGCATGCATTCACAATGATATTCGTGTTTTGAATTTTGTCTGAAATAGCATGGGCTACCATTACTACCGTCCCAGATTTCACTTGACAACACTATCAACTTTTTTATCAGGGTTTTGCATTCTAGTAAGGGGCATTTTCTTTTAGTCTACACCATGTCCAACATATCGGTAGCATGTGCGCATTACATTATTCTTACAGAAAAATGAATTGGGCCGGTTTATTGGATTAAAAGCTAAAAACTGTCCAGGGTTCTCTTTTTTTCAACTTAGTAAGTAATCTACAGTACCTATTTAACGAATGAACTTCGAATAAATGAAGTCGTTTTTTGTAAATCAAAAATTACAGAGGATCTGCACAGTAGCTACTAGGCCCAGAGAGAGACAGGGATACTGGGTAAGTTGATTCACCAGTACGCTAAACACACCAACACTTAATACTGATATGCGATCTCTAACCTTGACGTGAAGGAAATAACGCCAATCTCTGATTTCACTTACAGCTATTTACAGACCAAATAAAAATATACCAAAATGTGCGTAATCCGCCTAATGCTGCAAAGCGAGGGAGGAATTGTAACACATCACTCAGGCCCGGAAATACGTCACAGCTAAAAAGCTTATTGGTACCATATGAGAATCAAGAATGTAAATGATTCTTGATGGATATCCTCGATTCGGGGCGTTGCGTGAGGAAACTAATAGCAGCTTCGTAGGAGACTAGGATTCTTCTCTCGGGTGTCTTTCTTTTTTCTCCCTAAACCTAGCACGCTAAATAGTCCGGTTTCCAATTCTCTGTAGCTCAGGGTTGGCTTAATTTTGTGTCAAAATGTCAAAGTTTTGTATCGTTGAAGTTTTGCATTCAATTACTCAATTTACCGCTGGTATTTGTGAATATTTAGAAATTGAAATTAGGATAACCCTGAGTAAATGAGTCTTAAGGAACACTACGTTATTTTATTGAAGTTCGAAAATAGTTTATTCCAGTTTAATGTGAGTTACCTGTGCCCTGACTTTCATCGGTCCAGAGACTGTTAAGGTATCAGGCAAAAAGATAGGCTTGCGGGAACAATAAGCCAAGAAACGGGGGTGACAAATCTTCACAAAAGCGATTATCTTCTAAAGTCGAATCTTGGTTTCCTTGTATGAACGACATAAATCGTTACTTCCCCCGACTGACCCAGCATGATTCAGGAGTCATTGATTTATGAGATCATGTGAGTGCGGGGATGCTTGACCTCGTTCAGATTTCCGATTATGCTTTGTATGTTTACTGATTTTTTATGACAAAGAGATGTAAACGAGGTAATACCTTGAATCGGAGGTATTTTCTTTAATTTTAGCACAAAAGGTACAACAAAAAGGGTTTGTTTACCTCTGTCACCAAGGTAATGAGATGGCAGCTACCTTCGAGACATAGCAGTCATATTGATTTCATAACCAAAACGCGTTAACTCGAAACCTTTTGTTTGCACCCAATAAACCTGACCTCAACGACGTCAAACAAAAAACCACCTCAATCGAACGTGTAGACGTGTAGGCACTTTGAGACAATTCTGGGTGCGTCTATTTTCCATTCAAGAAACAAAGAAAGCACTTCTGGCGAAAAACGCTGATATCCGGAACAAATAGAAAATAATATTTAACAAACAAGTTACTTAAGTTGATGACAGTTCGCTTATTTCCTAGGAAATATTTCAGAGATCTAGTTTTACAAGAGCCGGCAAGTAAAAGAAAAATAGACTTTTTAAAATAGCTACAGTATTTACCAACAAACTGTCACATCTTTTAGAATTCCATTTTCGAATGTTTATTCTAGGAATCAAAATAGAATAGCTTTACATTCTATATATAGTCAAAGCGGAATTGATAGAAAAAATGGCTGACCAGAAGGCATAAAATGATAGGAAAACGTTGTATCATATCTTAGTAGAATCGATTCTGTTACTTTAGAGTTTTCCAAACGAATAGATCTGTTCTGACCCGTTTTGAGATGCGTGCATAATAAGCGCATAATATAGTGAAAATGACACATAACTTAGAGGCCAACATGTATTCATAATAGAATGTGTGGTCAATCAAGGTTCAATATTATCCCATTTTTTCCGGGAAAGAAAGCACAATATGGATTTGATGTAAACCGTTCTGACGCAATAAGTATTAATAATCTCTAATTGTGTTGACATTCCATTGGTAGCAGAGCGGCCGCGAAAAGAAAAACGTGACGAAGAGCCTTCAGGATATCCTGTCGACAAGCATATGCATGAACTTTACTACAAGGATCAATGATTTTGTTAGCATGATTTCATAATTTAATAAACATCCATAGAATGAAACATTTCTAGTGTCTAACTTTCGCCGACCTCAAAATACGACATACCTATACAACAATAGTTTTTTTTTTGATATAAAAGTATTATAGATTGTTATTGATGATTAATTAATATTTCCTATAAAATTTCTCTAGACACGAAAGTTAGCTAAAGTTCAATAAAGGAGTTAAGCGATGTCAAGTCTAACCACGACGTCATTGCAATGATGACAAATAGACATGTTCTCGAAGCCTCGTAGAGTGTTATTTACTCACACTCCAGACATGATTTGCCCTAGGATGATAAGCCACTTATATTTATAATCATCTTAACTTAACGTGGGTTTGGTATGTAAGAAATTGGTCAATGGAAAAAAAAAGTCAATGGAAAAAAGTGTACAAAGACGTACGTACTTCATAATATCAGCTGATTTTCATAATGAAATAGATGTTATTGCATTTAGCATTATCGCACTCTACTTCTGCTTTCTATTAGGTCAGTAATCTGACTAACACACTCTAATAAATACACTTTGTTTAACGTGTCAATGAAAGCCAATTTAAAAAGTTTTGTTAAAACAAGTTTCAATTTAAGTTTTAAAAAGTATTTTGTTCCAAAGGAGTTAAAATAAAATGCTTAACTATTCAGAAAACTTTATCAAAAAATTTATAACAGTGGCCAAAGTTAGACCATGTTCAAAGGTGAAACTTTCAGCTGAAACTTGTATGGAACGGAGCTTCCATGTCTGGATGTTTGTTACACGTCGCAATTCCTTTTGAAATTTGTCGAACATCAAAAAAGATTTCAGTCCTTAAGAAAAGGGACTTTTCAGTTTGACCAACAATTTGGGATTTAGTGCACTTTTCTATTCCTCACGAATTCTTATTAGAGTGCATACCATATATCCGTTCAAAACTATGTAAGAAATTTTCACGAATTAGTAAGTTCAGACCTCAGTAGACCGGTCGTAGAACAATAAAACTTTGCCGACTAATTTGTACAATTTCGTTTGTTAACTTTTTCACGGATATATGATATCTGGTCTCTTTGGGAGAAAGTGAAAATGTGCTAAAAACACAGTGGATGGGGTATGTAACAGTGAGTTAAACGACGCGAAATTGAAATTTAAAGAAAGATAAATTTTGCAAAATAGCGTATTTACTCGAATAAGCGCCTCCCCCGAATAAGCGCCTCGCACCTAATGGGACGCTTCTTCTCGTTATAGTATACTAATACCAGTACTGTTGTAGTAATATAGCATTGATATCAAAAGAAAAGCATACTTTGACAGTTGTGTACGCGTTCCCTCCCATTGAATAAGCGCCTCCCTCGAATAAGCGCCTCCCCCGAATAAGCGCCCCGTTCTAGACGTGAAAAATGTAATAAGCGCCGGGGTGCTTATTCGAGTAAATACGGTAGGTACATTATTTATCCATAAATAAAAACCAATGAATCAGCAAAACCAAATTTCAGTTTGAAGCCGGCTAATTTTAATTCAGTACACGATTAGCCTATGTACACGATCGAAACGAAGTAAACACTACTTCCGGCGGAAAACGATTGACATAACGATCGAATAGGAAATAGCTAGAGTCTGATGAAGTCCTTAGACGTGGACGTGTTCAGGTATGAAGTACGTCACGATACATGATACTGTCTATAAGTAGGACGTCAGAGAGGGTTTATACCTAGAGTATATATGCAGGCATAAGTATTGCCAGTGAACTGAATCTAAGGAAAGTACCCGATTTCCTATCGAAGACAAGAGGAAATTTTTTCTTATCAAACAAGAAAATGACTTTAATGAAACTTGTGGTGATTTTGGCGTCGCTTTTCGCGCTTTTGAACATAGCCAGTGGTAAGTAAGATTGTAGGTCAATTTTGTTGAGTTTTGCAGCAAGGTCAGACAATTTAAAAAAAACCTTAACTTTGGTAGCTCTAGAAGGCAACGTTCACTGCACTTGCATTGAATATGCACGAGTCCTGTTTTTTTGAGAAAATCGTAAGAAATTCCTAGCCTTATCGAGTATATTGTTCAAACACTCGACTCGCTTACATTGTTATACTGAAAAACTTCAAAATCTAAGTTAATATTCTGGTACGTGCTTGATCTGACACGGGTCTTTTAGGCCTCGTTACATAATCTAAAGTTCTTTTTTGTTGAAATTTTATAAACGATTCTTTGCTGGACAGTCATGATTTGTAACTGATATCAAGCAGTGATGCTGTGACTTTGTTTGTTTGATTATTCTTCAAAATCAAGTTTTCTTTGTGTTCTAATTAAATATACTAACATCGTCTATTGTTAGGATATATTTGTTCAAATTAACAATTGATTTATGGACCTAAAAAGATAGACCAGCTTTCTAGGGCGCAGCGTTTTTACAATCTTTTCCGTGATTGCTGAAGGTTTGACGATTGCTCATACTTCGTAATGAAGCTAATGGAACAGATACATTTATTGAGGGGCGGGCGGGGGGATAAATACATTAGTTAAGGGGCGAAGGGAGGGTATACTTTTGAACTGAACGGATTTGGCAGGCTTTGCTGTAATAAAGTGCAACAATTATAGGACTAATATTCTCATGGAATTTTAAAAAGGGTCTTTAAATAGACAACCGGGTCATTAGACAAGCAAGGATGACGGAAAATATAGTCGACCTGAGGTTTATACTGTTTGTTCAGAGCATTCCCTCTCCTCTTGCTCCCCCCGTTCGACCGGAAATGTATCCGCCCACAAAATTTAATACCCGTTTCTGTTTACCACTGAGCTAGAGAAAGAAATTGATATAGCGAATAAATTTTGTACATAATGACATCCAGATGTACTAATAAGATCGATTCATTCGTTTGGTCGTTTATCAAGCTAAGGCAGAGCTTTTCGAGTCTTTATTTAACTCTGGAATTTATGACATGTTTATGGAGTTTGTATAGTTAAAAAGATAAAGAGATTTATCTTGTCAAACATCATTTTGTGACGTACATTACAAATATCAAGAACTGTCAGAAATGATATTAAAGAACAATACTTATAGCAAGAGTGCTGCAAACGAAGCTAATGGATAGTAAATAGTTTCTGGCTGCTAGAATTATTTTTTTTAAACTGGAAAAATAAAGTTTTTATCTATAAAGTTGATTCTTGTCGTGCGTTTCAAAGCCGTTGATCTTGTTYGACCTTGTTGAACTTAGTTGATTAGGGATTCCTAATCTAACCTTAACCATGTTTTGATTCAACGACAGGGGAATCATTGCTTCGTTAAAACTTTTTTTGCCCATCGCTTTTTGCTCTCGAAGAAAACCGTCGTCCCCCGAATGGAATATTTTATATTTTTTTATAGTAAAACATTTTTGCAGATCTTTGAGTGAACTTGATTTATTATCTAAAGTGGAGAAATTGACAGAATCGTCCCCATAAACACATGCCATGATTGAATTTCATTAAGCTGAGACGTTAGATCTGGGGTTGTGAACATATGATCACCATGGCCGATGATCGAGGCTATTTTAAAACATTATATAGGTAGAGTTTAGGATTCTTCTGAAAGAGGTTCTTCATTTTACTCATTGTATTTAGCTCGTGAGAAGGAGCCCAAAAATTGGAGAAAACGAGAAATAAAATTGGGGAGAGGGTGGATACAAGAAGGAGAATTGCCCCCACCCCACCCCACCTTCGCGCAAAATACGCCGAACGCCTCGCCTATCAATCCTTTGTACACTCCTAGTTTTCATCGCAGTGCCAAAAATTAAAAAGAAAAAGAAAAAAAAAAGAAAAAGAGTTACCTTTTGTTCACAGCTCTGTAAAAACTGAGTCTACTGGTGACTATTGTTTTTTCAGACTATTGTTTTTTCAGACACTCAAACATAGTTAAGCTAAAACTTTGAAACACTGTCGGGTTTGCAATAGAAGTCATGGTTCCGACTCCCCATAGTTACGGTTGCTATGTCCCACAAGCTCAACGAATTAAAACTTTAACTTGAAGTTAATTTGTTATTTGAAAATAGTTTGGAGAGACTAAAATCGCTAACCTTAAGTATGAGTCTAGCCTGCGTCGGTTCCAAGCATTTGTTTTAGATCTTATTATTAAAGCTATCGAGTCGTCTGCCGATGAATTGATGAATACATTTTGATTTATTTGACATATGGTCTACAGACAGCTTATAGAGATTTGATTTACTAAAGGTTAAGAAGAGGTTCTGTAATTCGTTAAGTAGTTGTGTGTTTAGCGTTTTTATACATAAGCCAACTATGGCTCGGCGCTAGAAGCTGAGGCTCAGCTCAAACGTCGAACTTTACGTGAGCCGAACCTAAATAAAACAATGAATAACAAGGCGGTCTTCATTGATGTAATTAGGTTAGGCTCGTGTGAAGTTCGACGTTTGACCTGAGCCTTAGAAATCTTGGGAATGGTTATTGTGCAGTGATTCATCGGCCCTTCGACGTCAACCTTCTATTTTAAAAGTAATACAGTAAAATCGCTTTTATCGGATTCCTTCTATCGAACCGTAAACATCTTCTGGGCTGGTTTAAGACATGCCACGAAAATTTACTCTCCGTCCTATCAAGTGCTCGAAACACGTCATGAACGCGGTATGGACACGGATACGTCAATGTCACGATATTGGACGAGCACAAAAGAAAACCTCACGGTCGCGGCAAGGAAGAATACTGGCACTGACTTTTTCAGTCATACGAAAACTGCTCTAACAGATGGAATTACGTTGAGCTTGTCGTTTTAGAGGTGGGAGGAAAACTGGAAGACCGGAGAGAAAAAACCTCAAATGAAATCAGGGTGCCAAGGATCATCTTCTACATTCAATACATACTACAATCAACTCACATGTTGATTTTTACGGAGGGAGAAAAACCAGAGAACCCGGAGAAATACTTTCGTGGCACAGGAGAAAACAATACATCAAACAAACTTTAGTCTATAGAGGCTTTGCACCATCACGTGATGGCAGCCATGACAGGAGGCAGGAACAATTGGTCTGAATCTGGTCTAATGTGATTTACATGATAAAGAATTCAGTTTCCCAGGGGAGAAAGACTCTATTGCTATGCCTCCTGTCATGACTGCCATCACGTGATTGTTGCAACGCCTCTATTAGAGTATCAGGATTGGATTAAATATTTAGATACAACGATTTTTTTCAGGGTCTATCCCTAGTGCACCAATAAATGTAACTATTGATAACATTGGGAGCCGCAGCATTAACATCTCATGGACAAGACCTGCTGAAGATGGTAACAATTCCCAACTAGCCTACGCTGTGTTTTACAAGGTCAAAGGTAGCAGTGTTTTACAGTTGGTGGAATTAGAAATCGTTACCAAGGCGAAGCTGTTGGTAAAGCCTTATAGGGAATATGAGATCTTTGTGATGGCCAAAAATAAAGATGGTTATGGACCGCCTTCAGTAATAAAGTCAATTCTGACTGCAGAAGAAGGTCAGTTGTTAAATAATAAGTTTGTTTTTGCGGTGGGCCCGGTTGTATGAAGGGTGGTGGGATAGCGCTATCCGATGGAGAAATCCTTACTATAAAATAGTGTCTTCCAAGACCGGTATGCATTTTGGGTCTAGTAATAGTTATTTATTTTGTTTTTAGTGCATTCCATACGAAACAATATACTATCTACATATAGAGAGCAAATCGCTGTATGTTTACTTTTTGTTTCAAATTAACGAGACCCACAATGCTCTTTGTGCTTGGAATGCAATATTCAGTCTGCAGTATTCAACATTTTTTGAAATAGCTGTATATTTTTTGGAGAACAGCATCGACTTATCCACTGGATAAGGATTTATCCGTCGGATACACTCTTCTTATCACCGCGCCCTGATGTCTTAATGCTGTTGGTATTATATCTGATTGTCAAATTTGATTTGCTTTGGGTTTCCTTAGAACCCGAAACGTGTCCAACAATGGGATACATTGAGCTAACTGACGACGACCTTGATGTTATATGGTATCCTATACCTAAAGAAGACCAAAATGGGAAAATAACACATTACGTCATCTTCTACAAAYCCAAAAGCATGCCAGAGTTTAAAAATGTTACCACTGTAAATATAACTAACCACGATCCAAATGGCATACTTCATAAATTGAAAAATATGAGTTACGCAGAAAGCTATGGGTTCAAAGTAGCAGCAGTTAACTCGAAAGGCATGTGTAAGGGTTGGCAATCCATGARTTTGTATCACAAATACGGTAAGTATCTATAGAATACTAGCATCCTTATCATCATTTCTCCCCACATAGTACGTGATTGGCCTTAATTGGGGTGTGCTAGCTTTGGAAAAGGACGTTCCAATAGGCACTCGAGTTCCTTTTTTCCCTAGTGCTTGCCATACTCAGTGACAAGGGAAGGGAAGAGATTAAGGGAACTAAGTTTTAGAAAATCCTGCCAACAAACAAATCATGCATACTTATCGAGAAATCATGTATACTTTCTATGAGATACTGAGGAAATCGTTTAGTTATAAGCAAATAGTGGGGGGTTTCACCTAAATACCAAGAAGAGATAACTAGCTTAAAACTAGTGAGCTGCGTCGGTGTTTAAATATCAAGCTTAATATTACACTTTTATTTGACATTTCGTACTTCTGCGTACTCATGGTTTCTGGTTTCAATGACCTTTTCAAAGAACTAACTAAAAAATAAGTGTTATTCATATAAGTATAGGAAATGGCACGATCTCGAGTACAATTCGGAATTTATAGGTACGAGTGATTGCTTTGAAAGTTTTCAAAATTGGACGAGCATTTAGGCGAGTTCAATTTGAGAATTTTCAAAACATCACAAGTATCTATRAATTCCGAATTGTACGAGAAGATTGTGCGATTTTTTGTTTATGATACACTCAAAAGAATTGAGCAACTTMATTGGGACTCTACAGAGTACAATTTGGGATTTAATTGTACTCCTCTTGTCCAATCAGAATCGATTAATTTTGTAGAGTGTACTATAAATGCTCAAATTAAATCTTCAACAGCTTCGGCAACAACAGTGTCACCCTGTGCAGCCGCGACAACAGCATCACCGTCAACGGTACCAACCCCATCAACACCAACGCCCCCACTACCAACGACAACAGATGATCTAAGCACGACACCTTTGTTAAAAACTACCACGAGTGAACCCAAGGAACCGTCGATACCCATAAGTACTAATCAACCAACTGAGTTTCCTAGTCCAGCGGGTATGTCTAAGAATTTTTTAAATACAAAACATGTACGCAATTTAAATTGTGACCATGCGTCGAATTAAAAAATATTTTCTGCATTCTTATTCGACGTAAATATTTATTAATGTTATGTTAATTGTCATAATAAGGCTCGTTTACGTGGGCGACTTTTGCAGCGATTTTAGTGTTTTAGTGATGCGACATTTCAGTCAATAAACAGTGACGTTTTTAGAGAGCTTCTATTGCTTATAAAGCAAACTTTTGTCTGATATGAAGTTTGACACTCTAAACACAGGTTCAGGGGGGGTCACAATCCCGTTTTCCAGCCTAAGTTTTTAAAACGCTTGTTTCGCTTGTTGAGTACTTAACCTTTTTTCTTGCTTTGAACAGATAAGCTCGCAAGAACCTCCGAGTCTAACTGGTTGGTGTACGTACTTATAGCAATGGCAGTCATTGTAGCCATTATGGGTGTTACTATATTCCTGTTGATATGGCAACTCTATAAAAACCACAGGTAAAACCCTTCCAACCAAATGATTTGATTTGATTTGGCTAATTCGTTGGGGCTGAGAAAACGAATTATGCCCAAGATAAGATGGCCAATTGCCAGCTTTCTGGATTTCTTACTGTAATATTGACTTGAGTTTTGCGTATTACAGGTTTTACAGATTGAGACAGGAACAGTACAGAATGAGTAATGCAACGCCAAACGTGGGTATAGATAACAAGGCTCAAGACAATGCTGTATAAATCATTAGGTAACAGTAATTATTCGTGGCAATTATACTGCATGTTAGCATGAACTGTTCCTTTTTTCTTATAACTTTATTTCTATTCTTCTATTGCACGTTACGTCATTGCAGTCATGTTGGTGCTATTTATCAAAAGATTGCTCATTAGCATCCATTGTTCCATGCACCACGATTACCGCCATGTTTTTGTCTTTTGACTCTCTTGGGGATGCTTGCATCTAATCAATCAGTACGACAATTAGATGTTTACTTCTCTAACTCTTGAGCATTGCAGGTGCAAAATCTTATAGTTGAGTCTTCTTATTGTTACAGGTCGTACATACTTTATAAATAAATAGTAAAGTTTTAAAGATGGCCACTGGACCGTTAGAGGGTATTAGGTGCTGAGATACCGAGACCGCAGTATAGGGTACTGACTACAATGTAGTTGGATATGGAGAACAATGCACGCAAGCATATTGTGATTGGATAATGTGAGCTTCTTACGTGTGACTATTTGTGAAAGTTAAAGTCATAGTATACCAGAGGGTTAGCAATCACACATACGAAATCTTCTACGGACTGCATCATATTTTGGTATTCAGAGATTTAGGCCTAGGGCAAACGTCGAACTTTCCATGCACCGAACTTAATTACATCAAAGAATGCCGCCTCATTATCACTTGATATCCATTGTTTTTAATGAGTTCGGTGCATGGAAAGCTCGACGTTTGCCCTAGGCCTTAGAAGTAAAATTAATCCATAAATCAGCTACCACATTTTGATGGAATTCCACGGCAGAGTTTTATACAGAAATTATGAAATGTACATTCCCTCCTGAAAATAATTATGATTGTTTTATAAAGTTATTAGATAGTAATACAGCTATTTAAGTTTGATGACTCAGTAGTTTGTATGTAACGTAGGGATTTGCTAAGAGCAAGTAAAGACAAACCTTAACCAGACCCAGTGTATGTCTGGATAAGCTGGTATTTCATCCCCAGTCAAAACCATCATCAGTTAATTCCTCGATACTGAAATTGCAATAAATCATCAAAGATTATATATTATATTAAATATGCATCGATCTGAAATCTTATGAATAAATGTCAAAGATGATTCCAGGTGTGGTTGATTGAAAGAAGGAAAAATGTTTAATTGTGAAACTATGCCTCCCTCTATAACAAGTGATTCAATTTAATTTTCCCAGCTTAACACACTTGTCTGTGAAAAAGGCTCTGGATTTGGATGTGGCGATGGGGTTGCGGGGCAAAAATGAAAAAATGAAATGAAATGATTATGATTTATATAGCGCCCTTTAATATGTGAATATAATCAAAGGCACTTTACATGGAGTTGTGAATGACAGATTGCTTTTTGTGCAATTCACAAGCATGAGAGATGGTTAGTATGAAGTGTAGGCACTGAGGGTGGTCACTGCCAGGGTTTCTTTTTACGCCTCCTCAGTGGTTCTTTTACGTCCCCCATTTTACTGTAGGTTAGGAAGGTTTAAAGTCCTTGTCCGAGAAGACTTGAAGGTCTAACCATTTGCAGATATTATTACAAAGGCAGCACCTTCTCCTCAGTTATTTTAAGACCATGAGTGTTGGTCCGGCTGAGGCTTGAACCACGACCTCCCACACAACAGACTAATGCTCTGACCAACTGAGCTAACCGGGGCAAAAGGGGATTGAAAAGGATTAAACCAGAAGGGGTTGGGATAGGAAGGCAAAGTTAAAAAAATTTCCGTTCCCTTTCATTTCACCCTTTTTTCTCCATAGCCGACGCTCAAAGCTTTTTGTTACAGAAATAAGAGCAGAATGTTAATAGAAGCCTGAACAAAACGAAGATTAAAGTCGGGATAGTTATTTCAAAGTCCTTTGATTTTGAGTGGTAAATAAGGGTGGAATATAAATTTTTCAACATAATAGCATTGATTTACCTTCCCAAATTGTCGTCACCTTGAGACAACGAAGAGTTTGATCCAATGTCAGCAGCCTTGAACATTGAAAAAATGAAGAAAGTACGTCTTTATTTAATTTAGCTCTAAAAAGAACACTATAGATATGTAAAATATTTTTCGTTTAGCAAAGAGAAAAAAAATTGAATTTATCAAAAAAGACTTAAGAGAGCACTCGAGATAGTGGAGAGAAACCCCTGGACGTGGCCGTATTTTCCCGCACTTTTTACAGTCTTGTTACATTGGTGCCTTTGTAACGGAGGCTTAAAAAGTATAATCAAAAATATATAGCCTTGTGTATTCATTTACTGGCCTGGTACTTACTTCTCTACTCTCCTTTTTAGAGGGTTCAACTGCTTTAGCCTTAAAAAATAAGGAAATGACAATGGTTACCCTACTAGCAAGGGTCCCTTCGTCTGTCTCTTTTCTGAGTCTTTTCAAACATGCGCCGACTTGTCATCCAAACATCAGGATAATAAAGCGCATGCATAAAACTACAAAACGTTTTGTAGCAGAAATTGACCCCGCGACATAACTTAATCAACTTACAACGGCRAAATTGTAGGGGGGATTACGTTATTTTGAGAAGGTGGTTAGGGGTGTTATCACATATTGTGGGGGTCGAGAACTATTTCAGTTACGGACCCCCACCCCCCATGCGCTACATAATAATTGATAGCCCGCTCAGTGGTAGTGCGTGTGCAGCGAACCTCCTGAAAGAATCTCTTATACGAGAAGTCAGATGGTTGTAACATATAAACAATACCTTATCTTCTTCTTCCTTTTTCTTTTGAATCATCTGCATATATTGAAGCATAACAGGATCAATCTCCGGGTCTTTAGATGATTCTTTCTCCTTTTGTTCTTGCATTTCTTTCATTTCCTTCTCTGTGTTTGCGTCTGTTTGCCCCCTTCCATGATCCATGTTTTCACGTTCACGCAGTTCTTGTTCACGTTGTAATTCCTCCAGTTCACGTTGTTCACGCTCCCGAGCTTCTTGTTCACGTTGGCGCCGTTGTTCTTCGAGTTTGCGCTTTTCTTCTTGCCATTCACGGTCCTCTTGTTCACGTAACTCACGTTCTTTACGTTCACTCTCCTCTCTTTCTTTTTCTTCTCTGGTTTTTCTCGCTTCAGTGTCTTTCCAAACACTATCCAAAGGAACGGAGACTTTTTCTCCAATACTTGGTAAAGAGGGATTTGAATGAATACTGAGAGAGGATTCTTCGTCCTTTTCCTTCAAAACTGTACCACTGACTTGAGCACCACCCCATRCAACATCTAGAGATATTCTAGTAGGTACAGGAGCGTTATAATCATCTACTTCATCGTTTTCTTTCTCCTTCGCTGAATCTGTGACTGTATTAGCTGTTTTCCTGGTATCATCGCGCGTTCTTGATGGTTTACTAAGAGTTCCCATAGAGAGATATCCTCCACTTAAAGATGCATCGCTGCTACGATGCGAGTCCTGCTCGCTTAAGTCTTTATCAATATCACTTTTTCTACCGTAGAATACACTTCCATCTATGACTGGAACGTGTGAATTGTGGTCGCTATTTCTTTGACTGCTCGCAGACGTCAAAAAGTCGTTCTCACGTGACCCCATTCCAGTCCCTTCTCTGACGCGATCGATTGTACTGGAAAGAGGACGCCTCATGGTATCAGTAGATGAGTCAGCGTGTCTCTCCTTCGCCTTCTTGCCCTTGCCTGAGTCTGTCGTGTTGTTGTCTATGGGTGAGTGGTCTATTGGAGCTGATATCACCGATGGTGATCCGGGTTTGGCTATTAAGTCACTAACATTTACGGTGTTGTTTGGGGGTCTTCTGTCTGTCCTGGATAAGCCGAAATATCTGTCACAATAAAAAAGAAACAACTAAAATTAAAGATTATGATCGAAAGAATGAATAACAAACAAAGAAATGAATAAATAGATCGAATGAATGAATGAATGAAACGAATGAAAGAACTAACAAAAAAAACAAAACAAAACAAAAACAAAAACAAAAAAAA